AGTAAGGTGATAGAATATTTAAACAATGTGATTAATTTGACCTATTTATAGAACATTATTTGCTATTTATAGAACATTATTTCCAACAACTGCAGAATGCACGTTTTTTTCAAGCATGCATGGAACTTTTACCAGAACAGAACGTGTGCTAAGCCAAAAAGCCAATCTCAACAGATTTCAAAGGATTGATATCATAACGTATATGTTCCATGGTGGAATTAAACTAGAAATATATAACAGAAAGATTAAAAATTTCTCAATTTGTATGGAAAATAAGCAGCACACTTTTAAATAATCCGTAGGTCAAAGAAGTACTCACAACCACAATCAGAAAATATATTGAGGGCTTCCCTGGTGGCGTAGGGGTTGAGAGTCCGCCTGCCGATGCAGGGGACACGGGTTCGTGCCCCGGTCCGGGAAGATCCCACATGCCGCGGAGCGGCTGCGCCCGTGAGCCATGACCACTGAGCCTGCGCGTCCGGAGCCTGTGCTCCGCAACGGGAGAGGCCACAACAGTGAGAGGGCTGCGTACTGCAAAGGAAAGGAAAAATCAAAAAAAAAAAAAAAATATATATATATATATATTGAACAGAATCAGTATCAGAACATGTGAGACACAAAGTAGTGCCTGGGGAGAATTGTACAGCTTTAAATGCATTTGTTTAAAAGGTAACCTTAGGGCTTCTCTGGTGGCGCAGTGGTTAAGAGTCCGCCTGCCGATGCAGAGGACACGGGTTCGTGCCCCGGTCCGGGAAGATCCCACATGCTGCGGAGTGGCTGGGCCCATGAGCCATGACCTCTGAGCCTGCGCGTCCGGAGCCTGTGCTCCGCAACGGGAGAGGCCACAACAGTGAGAGGCCCATGTACCGCAAAAAAAAGAAAAAACAAAAAAAAGAAGGTAACATTAAAAGCCAGCCATCTAATCTTGCATCTCAAAAAGCTAGAAAAAGAAATGCAAACTAAATTCAGATAAACTGGAAATAACTAACAGAAAAAAAGACAAAGAAAATTAGCAAAGTCAAAGGTGTTTCTTTGAAAATATTAATAAAATTGATAAACTCCTACTTAAAATAAAGAGCTCAAATTAACAATATGGTATAAAAAGGAAATATTACTAGAGATCCCAGAAATATTAAAGGATAAGAAAATACTATGAACACCTTTATGTCAGTACATTTGACAACTTGTATGAAATGGACAAATTCCTTACCAAACTGACACTCAAAAAAGTAAAAATTGTGAATAGTATCATACCTTTTAAAGGCATTGAATCTGGGACTTCCCTGGTGGCACAGTGGTTAAGAATCCACCTGCCTATGCAGGGGACACAGGTTCAATCCCTGGTCCGGGAAGATCCCACATGCTGCGGAGCAACTAAGCCTGTGTGCCACAGATATGAAGCCTGCGCTCTAGAGCCCGCGAGCCACAACTACTGAGCCCGCGCGCCCTAGAGCCCATGTGCCACAACTACTGAGCCCACGTGCCACAACTACTGAAACCTGCACGCCTACAGCCCGTGCTCCACAACAAGAGAAGCCACTGCAATGAGAAGCCTGCGCACTGTAACGAAGAGTAGCCCCTGCTCGCCGCAACTAGAGAAAGCCCACGTGCAGCAACGAAGACCCAACACAGCCAAAAACAAAAAAGGCATTGAATCCGTGCTTCGAAATCTTCCCATCTCTAGTAATATTCTTCACCTGAACTAGGTCTCAGTTTTACGTCTCTGATGTACAGGTTCACTGTGGCTGCTGACAAGGTTTAGACTCAACTCCCCTTCCATACAGTTTCCTTCAGATTGATCTCCGTTTATTTACTTTTCATCCCTTTTTTTGGAGTTTGAGGCGTCCAATTAAGTATATCACATTTTCCTTCTGCCAGCTTCCGAACCTTTGAGAAGCAGACATAACTCAGGTTGGCATAAAAATGTCGACCTTATTTGTGGGGGAACTGGGTAAAAGCATCCGTAGGCCTGACTCTAGTCATCGTACCCCTTCGAATTGGACTGACCTAACTTGCCCTTCTGAGTTTGCCATGTGGATGAGAGGGGAATGTATGCAGGTTTGGGCAAGCAAGTTCTAAGAGAGGGTGAGAGACTGGTGACATGTGTGGTCAGTCTTTCACTCTCTCTCATCAAACAGATAAGGCAGAGAGAGAGAGAGAGAGAGAGAGAGAGGGAGAGGGAGAGAGAGAGGGAGAGAGAGAGAGGGAGAGAGGGAGAGAGGGAGAGAATGGTGTTTTTTCACCTGTCAACCTGGTTGGAGCCCTACTCTTATTATCCTCTTTCTCTAAGAAGTCAGATCTACCCTGTTCAGATGGAACCCCCAGTTCCACTGCCAACCTACTTCTGGGTCCTCATGTCATCTGGACCCCCTGCTCTATTTTGAATAAGTTTTTATAACTTTGATCTTACCCCCAGAATTCTTGCCTCTCCTCTGCAGAAATGTAAACCTGGCTTTCGTAGGCAGTGCTATTTTTTAACTGTACTATAACAAGTTATATTCTTTAACTTGATCAGTGCTGTCAACCAGAATCATCTCAAGATCTCAAATGCTGAAAGTCCCTCTGCTTTCCTTCCTCCTCTTCTCTGGCTAGTGTTTTCCCTTCAAAGCCTCAAATTCAGAGATTCCTTCAGTTATATACTGTCTCTCCACCTCTCTTTCCCTCCCCCCTCTCTATCACAGCAGATGGCCGTGCTATTGATCTTAACTTCCTCAACTGTACGCCCTTCTACACAATAATTTTTATCTATATCCGTCACCCATCCTTTCTTCCATTTCTAACCATAAAGAAAAAACAGTTTCTCCTCTTAACATGGCGAACTCTAACCAGACGTCTTTTCCCACCTTCTCACCAGACTTTGCTCCATTATTAACCTCTCTTCCTTTTACTGGCATTAGAAATGAAAACAACAAGTCTTGTTAAAGATTCAGCTTTCCTTTCAAACTATGCCAGCCCTCTTAGCGTAGTTAATTCCATTTCTCCATTTTCTTTAATTCCCCAAATTACTGGAAGTTTCTGTTCTCTTTTATTGCCATTCTGAAATTTCTTTCTAAGCTCACCAGCGCCTGTTAAGTTATTCTTAGCCCTCCTTCTGCCCTGAAAAGACAGGACCGGGTGCTGCCTCCTTTGCCTCTTCTTCCTCAACTTCACTGATGGACCGCAGACTTTGTGGAAAGCTCCCCTCTCAAATAAGTAAACCTTTTAGAAGGTAAGCAAACTGTCTTATTGACTTGCTGTAACAAGGGAGACCACACAGATGATTCTGAAGGACTGCCTGCTTTAGGAAATGAATTTAGGATTTTTATAGGTTGATTATAGGTTTTATAGGTTGATTATCAAGTTCTAGGGTAAGAGGTCAGAAGTGAGCTGAGTCTTTGGGTTGGTTGATTTCTTAAAGTCATGATCAATGCCCACACGCAAGGTGGTGATTGAAAGAGAAGGTCTGTGGCGGCCGAGGACACTGCGTCTGTGACTGTCCGACTGAATGCTGGTAACCGTTCCAGCCCTCGGTCTTGCATAACTGATGGCGTGGTTATTCGCGTTCTCACTTTCAAGCACGTCTTCAGTGCATTTTTGACGATTTAAATCCGTTGCAGTTGCCCTGGTTTCCCCTTACCTTGGCTATTACAGTAACAAAATAGGTCTCACCGCCTTTCGAATCTTCTCATAGTAACTCTAAAACCAGAGCCATCTTTCTAGAATACAAATTCGAATGAGTTTTCTACTGAAAACCCTTGGTGGCTCTTTTTATGTATAAAATACAGCTGCATATACTGAGTGTAGCATTCAGCCCCTTTTCCAGTCCTCGTCTGTCTGTTGGTCTGTGGGTTTCCTGCTCCCTCCCTCCGTCCTGCTTTTCCCCCTCACTCCCTGCCCGCCTTTTCTCTTCCTCACCCCCAGACTATGCTTGTATTATAGAAGTATACTGACTTTTCTGAGCTCATACTCTGTATTGTGGCCTCTGTGCCTAAAACAAAGTAATTTTTGTTTCTTCTTGGAGCATTCTTTGTTTCTAAACCTTACCTTTATCCGATTGTTAAAAGTCCTGTCTCTTTTCAAACTGTACTTAAATGTCACCTTTACAGAGCACGTTACTTTGCTGGGACTGTGTAGCAAAATCCTGCAGACGGGGTGACTTCAACAACAGCAGTTTGTTTGCTCAGTCTTGGAAGCTAGTCATCTGAGATCAAGGTGTCGCAGGCTTGATTTCCTCTGAGGGCTCTCTCCGTAGCTTGCAGATGTCCACCTTCTTTCCTGTCCTCACATGGTCTTTCCCCTGGTGTGTCTCTTTGTGTCCTAACTTCCTCTTCCTATAGGGGCACCAGTCAGATTGGATTAGGGGCCCACCCTAAAGGCCTTATTTTAATTTAATCATATCTTAAAGGGCCTTATCTCCAAATACAGACACATCCTGATGTACTGGGGGATGAGGGCTTCGACACATGATTTTGGGGGGTTAGAAGACACAGTTTAGTCCCTAACACAGAGCCTCTGTACGTCTTCCCTGCAGTAAGGAACCCTCCCCCAAACCCGAAGCACTCTGGACCACTTGCAGCGTTTATTGTATTTGCCTTGATGTGGGGTTTTTCGAGTTGATCTGTCTGTCTCTGGCGGTTTGTGGGTTTCCTAAGGACAGGAACTATCTCTTACTCAACTTCATCGCTCCCTGCTCTCTAGTGCTGAGTGGGGCTTGATTGTTCGCTAAATTTTAAACGATTCAGCGTAAATTGGGCTTAAATATCTAATAATATATTTTCCAGAAGTTTTAGGAGATTGACATAAAAAATATAGGAAAGGAATATGTTATACTTCCTATTTTAGAAGTCTTGGAGCATAGCTTGAGATTTTTATCTTAGGTTCTTAAATTATACATAATATAAGTAATGTCAGTTTTGTAGAACTAAATATAACTCTTTTATGATGTTTAATCATCTAATTGGCTTCTGTGAGCTACCTATCAGTTCTTTCAATTTTATTACTTCCATTACATTTGTTTTCAGATAAAGATGAATGTCATGTCTCAACCAACACTGAAAATGTGACGTTTAGAAGACATTTGCTAAGTCGAGTCACCTCATGTAAGTCTGCTCACATCTCTCAGCATCAGCTTAATATTGATTTAAAATGTAAAGAATTAAGTTCACCACCTTTGAGGCTTTCTCAACGCTCAAATTGCTCAGAATATCTCAGAGTCCCCTTGTATATTGAATCACTGGTCTTGGAAAATAGTGGAAAGATGATTACGTACTAAATTTCATGTGCTTATTACAAATATAATGTTTAAAATCAAGGTATTATTTTAAAACTGAGAGTAGCACTTCAAAATCGTCCTTTATTTTGTATCAAGTCTAGGCAACAAGTCCCAACTGTGTGCCAAACTTAATGGTTCTAAGACGGTTTTCCATTGTAACAAATGTTTTGTATTTCAGTTTCTTAAGTCTTTGTACGGTTTTTTAAAATATGTTCTTGATCATTAAAGGGCGATATATAGTAACTGGAACCTTAAATGGTTAACTATTTATTCAAAAAATGTAGCTTTGAAAAGTCATCTTAACCAATCCCAACTATTATAATTATCTCCTAATGGTCTTCTGTCTTCATTCTGTCTTCTATCCTGTTTTTGTTGCCAGACAGATCTGCAGGTAGAACCACTCCAATAATTTTAAAACCCTTTAATGGCTCCCCACTCACTACTGGATAGAATCCATGCCTTCCCCTGGCATTCACAGCCCTCTCCCAAGCTCCTAAAAATACCCCCCGCCTTAGCCAGCTGAGCTCTCTCCTGTTCTCTGACTTCTCGTTCTTGTCTGTGCCTCTGCGTCTCAACTTGGACTGTTTCCTTGGTGTTCTCTGTGACGTCCTTTGCTCCTCCCTTTCTGGTTTCTCTGCCGGTTGAAATCTTGGCGCAAGCTGGCCCCTCAAGGCTCAGCTCAGGTGTGGACCCCTCCACGAAGCTTTCCCTGATCACTACAGCTAGAAGCACGAGCTCTTCCCCTCTCTGCTGGCTTCGCCCAGGATTTTGTTTTTACCGCTGTTTCAGCACATTTCACCCTGCAGCTTTAGTGTGTGTGTTGATGTCTGTCTTATCTCCCACCCGAGGTTGTGAGGGCCAGAAGATCAAACCTCTTGTCTGACTTATTTTTGTCTTACACAGCATTCGGCAATAACCTTTAATAGTGCTTGGTAAATATTTGTATAACAAATTGAGAATGTGCCTGGACTTTTCTCCCATCATCCCCTTCCGTCTTTCATCCTTACAGACACATATGGTCCGTATTCATGGCAACTGTTCTCCCTCGTTGTGCCCTCCTGGCAGACCTGCACACTGCCATCTTATCCTAGGCAAACACTGACCGTGGTGTAATTAACAAGATACGGTCAGTTCCCAGCCTCAGAAATAAACTGTAGTCCCAAAGTTCATGTCTAATTCTGCTGTTTGGAATGCAGAAAGCATTTTTCCACAAAAACAATGTTATAAATAGTGGTTAGGTTTCTCAGCCAGCCCTCCCAAGACTAGTTAACCCAGAAGTACCAGTGTAGCCTCCATGTATCACATTGTTTTGTAGAGAACCTCTAACTCTGGATATGGAAACACATCTCTCGTTCCCTAGAAGCAGAACAGTAACTTTCTGGGCAGCCTGAGCTGTAGGAGGGTCTGAGCTGGGGCTCTGGCATGGCCCCTCCCCCCATATTGGATACCCTCATACCAGCAGCTTTTTGGTTTTCAGTATTTGCATAAGGAACATTTACCGATAGGTCACTGATACTCTCATGTCTTCGGAATTGAGGGCAAGGGGACACTTGCTCTTCTCATCATCCCACAGTAGATTCGGATGGTAAACAGGGCTTCAGCTGCCCTGTCACATGGGGGTTAAGTGAGGTATTGACAGATGAGGAGTGTCTTACTACTGCTCACTTTCAGTTGTCCTGTGGGCTTATGGGAATTAAATATATAAGCATGGAAAATACTTCTCTCTATAGGAAAAACACATTTCTAGGCATCAGCTCTGTATTTGACATGACATCAGTTTTGTGGACAAGTGATTCTCATTCCTACGTGGGCGTAGTGATGCTTCGCCATGAAAAGCACCCGTGTATGTAAACAGCCCTGGAGGCTGACGGTTTCTGCTGTCAGGCTGTAAGAATAGCACTCCATAAAATTTAGAGAATTTAACATGTTCAGCATCTTATGAGCTTGGAGCACAGGAGTGAGTGTCTATTTTATGTTTAGTACTGTCCTAGATGCTGGGGACTGGGGAACGGGAACCAAAGATAATATGAAAAGTGTCCTTTCCCCTCCAGGAGCCTGAATCAGGGAGTAGAGTATGAAAGAAGCATTCGCAGTGCAAACAATATGTTGTTAATTGCCATAAAGTACTTCAGGAAGGTAGCAAACGTTCTTAGGATGATCAGAATGGCATGATTCCCCATGGTTATAAATATAGTGGTGGGATTTCATTTTGTCTTAGAGCAATGGTGAAGGTCTAAATAAAGAGCTAGGAGAGGAAATGATATTCCAGGTTGGATTAACAGCATGAACAGAGGACTAGAGTTACAAACAGACAAGCGAAACAGCATTACTGGCTGGAACAGAAGGTTTAGTTTACGTCAGTGAAATAATAGGTGGGAAAATGGCGCCAGTGGTTCCACCCTGGCAGTGAATAAGCGCTCATCCGTAGATCTTTTTAAACATACAAGTCCCTGGATCTTAACCCCGGAACTAATAAATAGAATTGCTGGGGCATGAGACCTAAGCCTGTTTATCTTTTAAAGCTCCCCCAGTGGTTGAGAACCACTGAATTAGAAGGAGGGGCTGAACGTAGGAGTCAGGCCTCTGTCCCTCAAGCAGTGGGAAGCCCTCAGGGGCTTCTGAGACGGGTGACATATGAGCAACGGGCGTTTGCCAAGATAAAGGTTCGTCAACTGCATGTGAATGGCAGAGAAATAAGAACCAGCTTGAGTCTGAGCAGTGGTGGTGGGAAGGCAGAGGTCACATGTGTACGTGTGCATGGATGTATGGGAGTCAGCGATGTCAGCCTTGACCTCGGCGTGATTTCTTTTATAAACCGCTTATACGACTTCACCCTCATTAGTCTGATCTGTTTTCTCTTACAACCTGGCAGCTTAAACAGTAATTTCCGCCAGTTTGCATTTAATGGAAGGAGACCATTGTCTACTCATGTCCACGTCTAACTCATAATCATAAGTGAAGTTGTGTGTATGAGGAATGCGACCTGTAGCGTACTCGTAAGGCGTGTACTAGCCACCCACATGTGCAGTAAGACAACCTCAGTTCTCACTGGGCAGGATTGCGCCAACAGCCGGAGTCACATGTACAATACTTACTGGCACATGATTCTCTAGCATCTAGTTGAATTTTGAAGCAATAGTCTAAATTATGCTCTGCGCTTTAATATTTTTAGCAAGAGATTTGATAAGCGCTTCATTTTTCTGGCAGCAGACCCACGCCTACTTCCTGACAGCAGCAGCTGCCCTTCCTCTGAGTTCATGCTTCTCTCCTGCCCACACCTCCTCCCCTCCCCTCTGGGCCCATCCCCTGCTGGTGTCTGTGCACCACACCACACCCCATCCTCACCCGGGGGGCAGCAGAGAGGAGATTAAAGCAGTCAGAATTTCACTTCTCCTTTGCCACTGACACGGCTGGCTGACCCTGGAGTCTTCCACTCCTGGCTGACCCCGGACGTGAAGGCTGCCAGCGTATCCACACTCAGAAGTCTCAAACCACGCCTTAGTCGGACATGTTTCCCATCTCTTTGACGTATTTTAAATAACTTATGTTTGGCAACAATGGGCCATGTTTATTAGATGGCAGAGAATAAATTCAAGGTGTGATGTTTTGATATGACCTGTCCCCTTTAAAAAAGGATTCAACATCATGGATTTTTAAAAAAGAACCACTCTCTTGGCTATTCTGTAACAGTACATACAGTGACAGCAGTTCCTGCTCTGGTCTTCTTTGCCTGTGGCAGTTAATTTACTCTTGTGTTATCAATATCTCCAGCTCTCTTGACTTAACTTTTTTATAACAACTTAGGCTTTCACTAACCATCCACATGTTTAACCAGACAGTGGATGGTCTGCTCAGATTTGAAGGAGCCTGTAGGAGAAAGGGAAGCGAGGAGAACTAAAATTTGTTGAGTACCCACTCCGTGCCATGTCCTTTACATGTCTTTTATGATCTTAACTCCATTTTACAACGGAGGAACTTGGGATTTAGAGAGGTTTTAAAAATGTATCTGATGTCAGAAGTCTAGTCAGCGATAGAACTGGGTTTTGATCCCAGGTCTGGCTATCTAACTGTTTAAGCAGACTGATCCTACAGGTCTGCGTGACTTTTATTTGTTGGGAAACATCAGTGAACTTGGAATTGGGGGGGGGGGGGGGGGGGGGTTGGGTGTAAGCTTTACCTCCCTCACTAATAACCGTGACCATTTTAATGAAATTTTTTTAACACCTTTATTGGAGTATAATTGCTTTACAATAGTGTGTTAGTTTCTGCTTTGTAACAAAGTCGATCAGTTATACATATACATATATCCCCATATCCCCTCCCTCTTGCATCTCCCTCCCTCCCACCCTCCCTATCCCACCCCTCTAGGTGGTCACAAAGCACCGAGCTGATCTCCCTGTGCTATGCGGCTGTTTCCCACTAGCTATCTATTTTACGTTTGGTAGTGTATATATGTCCATGCCACTCTCTCACTTCGTCCCAGCTTACCCTTCCCCCTCCCCATATCCTCAAGTCCATTCTCTAGTAGGTCTGCGTCTTTATTCCTGTCTTGCCCCTAGGTTCTTCATGACCTTTTTTTTTTTTTAGATTCCATATATATGTGTTAGCATATGGTATTTGTTTTTCTCTTTCTGACTTACTTCACTCTGTATGACAGACTCTAGGTCCATCCACCTCACTACAAATAACTCAATTTCGTTTCTTTTTATGGCTGAGTAATATTCCATTGTATATGTGTGCCGCATCTTCTTTATCCATTCATCTGTCAGTAGACACTTAGGTTGCTTCCATGTCCTGGCTAATGTAAATAGAGCTGCAGTGAACGTT